AATTCTTTTATGCAAGTCCACAAACAAATTAAATATTTAAAGATTAGGCCGAACGTTGAAAAAATAGTCTCGCAAGTTGACGCAGCTATTTCGAGCTTAAAAATTTAAATTAAACTTTCTGTAAACATCATGCAGGACATGTTCATCATGATATGGTATAAATGAAACAGACCCTGTAAGAAAAAAATAGCTGTAATTTAATAATTGTTTATTAATATAATGTGGTCCTCTGCTAATAGAATATATATGCTGTAAAAAAAATCTGAATCAGGGTGAAGCAGATTTGATACAATACATGGCTGAAGGAAGGGGGGGGGGCAGGCCCCCTGTAATTTTGCTGAAATTTAGGTATACTATAGAAAACATTGCTCCTTTATGCTTGGGCCCCCTCAATAATAACCTCTGATGATCTATTTTTCTTTTGCTTTTGGGCCCCCTCAATAATAACCTCTGATAATGTATTTTTCTTTTGCTTATTAAAATTTTTTTTGGTTTGTAGCCTCCCCCAACCTGAAACTGAAAAATGTTGTTTGGTTGTGCTCACCCCCCCCCCCCTTCCAACTAAATTACGTACGGCCCTATTCTCCATCCCTGAGGTTTTCTTTCACCAAAGAAAGATGAATTGGTAACAGTTCAGATATATATAGCAATATTTACGGAAGGGAATATTCTCGTTTAATTATGAAGATGTGACAGTAACTCAGTCAAAGCCACAGTGAGTGTAACATTTATTTAATATTATTGTTAATGTTTACAAATAGTGAAATACTGATACTGTGAAATTTTAATGGATATATAGAAAATATAAAAGTACAACCATTTATTGTAAATCACATACATGAAAAGCTTCTTTTTTTAAGCAATTGGAAATTCTTCATTTTTTCATGAAATTATTTTATTTCGTATGTATGATAATTTATTTCGTATTTTAATTCTGTCAACAAATCATTGTCGCAGCCTAGTTCCCTTCATTATTTTCAGCAGTTCAGTGACAGGGATAAAATAATCATTTGAGGTTTATATCCCCCCCCCCTCCCCACCAAATGAAACTGAAAAATGTTTGGTTTTGGTCCCCTTCAACTGAAATTGATTCCTACTTACAATGTACCATGCTTACAGGCTTAACTATGAAGATGTGACAGAGAGTGTAATAACAATAATTGTTCAGACGGATACATATTAAGCTGATATACGTATCAAATTTTAATGGATAGATAGAAATTAATAAACAATTACAACCATTTATTATAAACTACATAAAGATAATTTTTCAAGCAATTTGAAATTCTTCATTTTTTATGATAGTATTTTATTTCGTATATATGTTTATAGGTTTATTCGTATCAACAAATCTGTGTACGAGTTAATAACGCAGCCTGGTTCCCTGCATTTTCAGTGAACCACAGAGAACCAGAATAAGACTGTAGGGAAACAAGCCTTGTTACAAGGTTTGAGGTTTGTTTATTTTATATTTTAATTTACACTTTTAAAAATTATTATTATTATGCAAAAATCTGTGTGCAGATGAATATTTACATTTTAATGTTATAAGTCGTTTTGTGGTTCATATTTGCGGTGACTGTCCAACGTGTGTTTACCTGTTTACATTCACCTACTGACCTAGAGTCTTCAAAATATACCTTCTGTAATCATGACTGTTGTAATCTTGTTTTTATGTTAGTTTACCATATGTAACTTGACTGTTGTATAGATTTATAGCGATCACTGCAAGCTTTTAATATTTAGGTGAAGAGAAATTTCAGACTATCAATCACAGGCACTTGTTTCATATACGGTGCACCCCTACTTAATTTTACCATAAGGTATCTAACTCAATTTCAGGCACCCCCACTTCAAGCTCGTATTTTGTTCATGTATCATTATCAATCATTTACCTACTTTAAAATGACATTGTTCGCTTCAAGAGACTTTTTTCTTGTCAAATAAATCATTTCAGACATCTCTGGTCGAGTCTCTTTATTGTAAAGCACTCATTTATTCCACGAAAATTACCTTGATACATTTTAAGACTTTAGATGGGATACAACTTCCAGTTGGGGGTAGAATAAAACCAGAGACTTCCGAGTATTCCATTCCGAGGTCTCTGGTTTTATCCTTCATTTATAACCCCAACCGCAAATTTGTATCCAGGGATTTTTTTACCCTCTGATTCCAGGGGCCGGGGCCGTCAAGATTGGGAAAAATAGTGATATTTCGTTGAAATTGGGAAAAATATCTTCATACAAATAACAACAAGCAAAAGACAAATATTTAATCATTTTTCTTATTTTTTTATAGTATGAAGCTGGCCTAAACCAGCTTTAGTGATATGAAATAATAGAGACTGTTCAGAACCTTAAAAATGGTAAAGCCGCAGGGTATAATAACATTGTAAATGGACACTTTTATACAATGTTGTCATCTTTTTTACCTTTACGTAAGAAGTTCTTTAAAATAAAATTTGATAGTGGGTTTGTCCCAGATGAGTGGTTAATTGGTATTGTTTGACTAATTTATAAGAATAAGAGTGATTCAACACAGCCTGAAAATTACCGCCCTAGGCAAACTGGAAAGACTGACATGATGCACGTTTATTTATTAATTAACGATCCCGACTTTAATTTTAAACATTGATCCCGCTTGCATGCAACATCCGTAGTATTCTGAACAACTTTTCGGAACTCCTCGGATGGCTCGTACATCACACATAGAGGACATAAACACCTTTTTGTCATTATTTTATTTTAATAATTTACAACTTAATACTTTTTTCATTTTGGGAATTTTTAGGTATAATTTTGGGAAAAACATGCACTTTTCAGCATTGGGAATGGGGCCGAATTTCGGTCCCGGAGAGACCCTAAAAAAATCCCTGGTATCGAAAATTACCTTGATACATTTTAAGACTTTAGATGGGATACAAATTTCATTTTTTTCACAGGTCACGAGGTTTCAACTTAAAAAATAAAAATTCTCACCGTTAAGATATGTTGGAAATTTTAGCTTGATGTGTTGATAATTTGCCAAATTATTATGTAATAAAGGGGACTTTTTATAATCACCCGGCGCTGTCGCTTTAGTTCAGTCTTCACAACAATTCTTTTTCAGCACATGCCCTTCGGGCATGTAGACCTATCATTTTTACCCAGCCCATTCAAATTTGTACATGTCCTACTCAAAATTCTTACATTTACCAGTATTGTGCAACAAAAAAACCCATTAGGTATAAAGGTTTTATATTAATTTTTTCAGCGTCGTAAACCAACCATGGCCTGTGATTGCCATTTTTTAAAGCGTTTTTGTTCATAAATAACTTTTGAGTTGCATGCTGGTCATTTGTTGGCCGGTTTAGCTGAACTGAATTTCAGAAATGGGATCATGACTGTAGTGCCACAGTATGTGGCATTGATGAACATCTCGTAATTTAGCAAGCAACTTCGAGAAAACAAATAGGTTAAACTAAACACTTCAATGATTAGATTGACAATCATTTGACAGGTCGTATCGAGAATGTAGACAGGCAATCCATCGACATTACATATAGCAACGTTTAAGCGAATAATGGGAGTAGGACAGAGTAAATGGCAAGTAAAGATCGTACAATGAAAGAAGATTCACATATGCCCTCTTCGGACATGTAATTTGGCAATTTTTACATGCCCGGCTGCAAATTTAACAGGTCCCTGGCATTGGACTCCCGGGTTATTTGGAAGACTGTTAGTTTAGTTTCATGAGGTCCGACAACATTGATTCTCAATGTCTGCTCCCTCTACCCCATACACTTATCTTGATAAAATTACATAAATTATATTATTAATTATATAAATTGATATAAATTATATAAACCGGTCTTGTTTATATAATTTTACAATGTCATAAACATCTGCTTAAGTGCATATAATATTGTACTAAATGGATTTAAATAAAGGATTAGGGAAAGATCCGCACTTGATTATGGCAGCATATTTAGCCCGTAGGAGTTTATTATCTACCACACATGATCAATGTCACTTTTGGACGTGAATGACTTTTGACACCCTAACTTCAGTTCAAATCAACGTTAACTTTATGTGACGTCTCTCTGAATCTTTTTTGGCATGTAACTTGGGTAAAAACAATTAAGTACTCTTGATGCATTTGATTTCTCTTAGCCCGTTTAAACATTTCCAAGGTCTATACCAGTTTTTGCAGGGGCGAAACTATGTAGAAGTTGGAAAAGAAACCCATCCCCTTTTTGACGTATTTGGTTTTCGAGGGGTGAAAATTTTCAATATTACACTCAACTACATGCAATATTTATTATATTATACTGAATGTTTTATACAAATACAAATAATAGTGAACCTTGAGCGCATAAATCTGCGCAGTCACTATTTTTTGGAATATCACCCGTCGTCAAGCAATGTTGACTGTTGCGACACTGGGCGTGGCTTCATTATTCAGCGGATAATAGTGCTTTTTAACAAATGTTTCTTGACGAATCAGATTAATTCATCTAATATACCTGAAAGTACAATATTAATTAATTGTCATCATTTTCCTATACATGTATTAGCATTTTTACTGGTAATGGTTTTGAAATGATAGGAACATGCACTGTTCAAAAAGTCTTAAAATGTTGTTTTGGCTCAATTTCTTTGTTAGATTACTGTGTTGAACTAAGGCAGGTCAATTAAAGTAACATGATCCTATAGATTCCATGTACATTTAGTACTATAAAGTAGACAAATTTATTGTTCTCACAAGTAGTTCTCAAACATTGATTTAAGTTGGTCTCCTGAAGGATGTAATAATGCAATTGGTCTGCTTAAGGTACAGTGTATAAAATAGACATGCATATTTTATTTTGAATTTGTATTATGTCAATCATTAGAAATATATGGATCTTAATTAAAAAACATTGTTTTCATTAGAATTTAAGATATGTATAATAGGCATATGTTCTTCATGCTTTTCCATAGTTAAGTCCTTTTTTACAGGGTCTCTGCTAGAATCATGTGGACCCCAGTGTAACAAATCTATGGAAAGAGAGAAAATCTCAGCTTAAGGGTCAACATGTCTTTATTCCAAGAAAGGTAAATTGATAATTTTTTCTGCTAAAATACTCTTTTATAAAATTATAATATCAATGCAAAAGAGTGAACAAACAATGTACCTAACAACATTTTGAAAATGAAAGTGCAATAACAGTTAATAATTATGATCAATCGAATGAATGTTAATAATCCAATCAAAGTCCTTGTTGTATATCATTTTTGCTAGGGCTGTGTATTGAGCAAAAAAAAAAAAACAAAACAAAAAAAAAAGACATTTTTTAATGCGATATGCAATATATTGAATTCTTTAACAATTCTATCAAAAAAGTGTTATAAATCATTATGCATGAATTTTATAAAAATAATAATTGTTTTTTTTCTCATTTTTAATTTTTTGTCTCACCATCTTTAAAAATTACACTTCAAATTCAAACTTTTCTTGACTGTAAAATCAACATGTTAAGTAAAGTTGTCTATGTATTTTTATGATTTTGTAATAATCATTTAAGATGTGCTACCTCCTTAATGATTATATCATTTTTGATCAGATTTAATTCAAAACAATTACCGGTAAATATAATCTTTGGTGATTGAAATTCCCAAGTTTTTCACAGAATTACATAAAAAAAACTGCCTGCCCAAAATGTATTGGAATTAAGTCATTTTTAGCTCACCTGAGCCAAAGGCTCAAGTGAGCTTTTCTGATCAAAATTTGTCCGTTGTCTGTCGTCGTTGTCGTAAACTTTTCACATTTTCATCTTCTTCTCAAGAACCACTGGGCCATTTTCAACCAAACTTGTCACAAAGCATCTTTGGGTAAAGGGGATTTAAGTTTGTTCAAATGAAGGGCCACACCCTCTTTCAAGGGGAGATAATTAAGAATTAGTGAAAATTTAGTGGTATCTTTTAAAAATCTTCTTCTCAAGAACCACTGGGCTGTAAAAGTTGAAACTTAGGTGAGACCTTCATTACATAGTGTAGATTCAAGTTTGTTCAAATCATGACCCCCTGGGGTAGGGTGGAGCCACAATGGGGGATCAAAGTTTTACATAGGAATATATAGGAATAAATCTTTAAAAATCTTCTCCTCAAGAACAACAAAGCCACGATTAGTCATATTGATATGGAATCATCCTCAGGTAGTGTAGATTCAAGTTTGTTCAAATCATGACCCCCAGGGGTAGGATGGGGCCACAAGGGGGGATCAAAGTTTTACATAGGAATATATAGAAAAAAATCTTTAAAAATCTTTTTCTCAAGAACAACAAAGCCACAATTAGGCATATTGATATGGAATTATCCTCAGGTAGTGCAGATTCAAGTTTGTTCAAATCATGACCCCCAGGGGTAGGGTGGGGCCACAATGGGGGATCAAAGTTTTACATAGAAATATGTAGGACAAATCTTGAAATTGTTTTTCTTAAAAACAACAAAGCCACAATTAGTCATAATTTATATGGAATTATCCTCAGGTAGTGTAGATTCAAGTTTGTACAAAATCATGACCCCCGGGCGGGGGGGGGGGACACAATGGGGGATCAAAATTTTACATAGGAATTTATAGAAAAAAAAATCTTTAAAAACCTTTCTCTCAAGAACAACAAAGCCACAATTAGTCATTTTGATATGGAATCATTCTCAGGTAGTGTAGATTAAATTTTGTACAAATCATGACCCCTAGGGGTAGGGTGGGGCCACAATGGGGGATCAAAATTTTACATAGAAATATGTAGAAAAAAATCTTGAAAAATCTTCTTCTCAAGAACAACAAAGTCACAATTAATCATATTGATGTGGATTCATCCTCAGGTAGTGAAGATTCAAGTTTGTATCAAATCATGACCCCTCGGGGTAGGGTGGGGCCACAAGGGGCGATCAAAGTTTTACATAGGAATATACAGAAAAAAAAAATTGAAAAATCTTCTTCTCAAGAACAGCAAAGCCTTGTTAAGTCATATTGATATGGAAGCATTCTCAGATAGTGTAGATTTAACTTTGTTCAAATCATGACCCCGAGGGTTAGGGTGGTGCCACAATTGAGGATCAAAGTTTTACATAGGAATACATAGGAAAAAACTTCAAAAATCTTCTTCTCAAGAACAGCAAAGTCATACTGATATGGAAGCTTCCTCAGGTAGTGTAGATTCAAGTTTTTTCAAATCATGACCCCTGGGGGTAGGGTGGGGCCACAATGGGGGATCATAGTTTTACATAAGAATATATAGGGAAAAAAACTTGAAAAATCTTCTTCTCAGGAACAGCAAAGCCATGTTTTGTCATATTGATATGGAAGCTTCCTCAGGTAGTGTAGATTCAAGTTTGTTCAAATCATGACCCCTGGGGGTAGGGTGGGACCACAATGGGGGATCATAGTTTTCCATAGGAATACATAGGAAAAAACTTCAAAAATCTTCTTCTCAAGAACAGCAAAGTCATGTTTTGTCATACTGATATGGAAGCATCTTCAGGTAGTGTAGATTCAAGTTTGTTCAAATCATAAACCCCAGGGGTAGGGTGGGGCCACAATGTGGGATCAAATTTTTACGTAGGAATATATAGGAAAAAATCTTTTCATCAACAGAAAAGCCATGTTTAGTCATATTGATATGGAAGCATCCTCAGGTAGTGTAGATTCAAGTTTGTTCAAATGATGGAGGGGGGGGGGTTAGGGAGGGTCCACAATGGGGGATTTTTAACAAGGGAATATATAGGAAAAAAATCTTTAAAAATCTTCTGCTCAAGAACAGTAAAGCCATTTGTTATATTGATATGGAAGCATCCTCAGGTAGTTAAAAATCCAAGCCCCCTCCCCTTTAAACTTTTCAATACTGAAGTGATTTGTGCTTTTTCCTAGCCAATGTGCTCAGGTGAGCGTTGTGGCCCATGGGCCTCTTGTTTTTGATACGATATATTCATTAATCTAGATATGTATCGATATACAGGTAAACTTCGGTATCTCGAACACCGGTATGTCGAATACCACGGATATCTCGAAGTGAATCAACGGTCCCAGCCGTTTTTATTATATTTATGATTTTAAAAAACCCCGGTATCTCGAACACGGAAATCTTGAATACCTCGCTTATCTCGAAGTAGATTTACGGTCCCAAGTGCTATAAACACATGCGTTATCTCGAAGTCCAACAAATTCTCGCTCCACTGAATTCACACCTTAGTACACAATAATCCCATTATGCTAATTTTACGGCCTGTTGAACGTTTCCGTTAGGTCTAGCACAGGCTTCATGGGACCATTGCTGATAATCACACCTTATTAGTCCCAAGCTGTTGTTTTTGGTAGTTAAATTTAATTATGCAGGCCAGGTGATTTGGAGGTGTTAATAAAATGCACTCTCAGAGATACTATGACACGATAATGAAACAGCAGCTTGGGGACGATTACTGTACTAGAAATTTAAATTATCGAAAATACGCTTATACACATCATTACATATCAAAGTAAACACTGAACACATCAAAGTGATATTGACCTCAAGAAATTAAACAATTAAAGACATTATTTTGAGTATAAAAGTCAGTACCAAAAATCAAATCTTCAGTTAATATCATGTCCGATAAGGCAGTCTAACGAAGGACCCGGTAGCCAACCAGGGGGGATAGTTAGATTATCTGACCGTAGTGGAAAAAGAAAACTTAAAGTTCATACAATCAAAACAAAGTTTGCTTTTGTTTATTCATATTGGCAATTTCAATAAATTATTGTAGAACGATAATTCCTGTTGTTACATTTAGGCATGTGGGTATATGTACATATCCTGTTAAAGTCTTTGTGTATCACATTATATCATGATATACTTCAGACAAATTAGTACACCCGTAGTTTTGAATACAATTCATACATTGATTTCATTTGCCACAATGGTCTCTTTAATATTGCAATAATGCATTTGGTCTTCCTAATGCATGTATAATGCAGGTACTGTATATATTCTATGTCCAGCTTATAGGTGAGTCATAAAAAAATTAGTATTTTGAAACCAGGTTAAAACATCAGAGCATTGATTTGAAATTGTCAATTGATTCTGGCAAAAAGTTGTACCAATTTATAAGCGGGTCAATAGCAAATCCCTCCAAAATAACCTCAAAAAATACAACTGACTTATAGGTGGACCACCTTATAGGCAAGTATATATACGGTATAGTTTTTGTTGAATTTTGCTAACAGCAAAACACTATGAATAATGAATTTTGGAAAAAAAAGATTATTAAGTTTAATGATGCATGTATGTAGTATAGAAATATTGTTCATATGCCTGTACATGGTACAAATATGCATTTTACAGAGTGTACATATGCCAGAATCATAGGGACCGCAGACTGGCCCTGGTGATTCCGTTAAGAAAAAAGAGGAAAAATCAGTGCTTGTGCTCATTGGTCATTGGACAAAGGTAACTAGATTTATTTCATGAAACTAAACATGTAAATTACTAGGATATTAAAATATCACAATTAAAATACATGTACTGATTTATATATATATATATATGGATATCAGTTGGTCTCCTTGATGGAGTTAAATGCATTTGTTATCCCTTTTAAGTGGATCATTTAAATAGTATGCAGTTTATTTAAAAGCTCTTTATTATCTGCACTGTTCACTTTTACAGGGTGAATGCCAGAATTTTTTCAAGAACAGTCTGAATCTGACATGGAAAAAATGAAGAAAAACAGCCTTCCTGTTTATAAATCTACATTCTGACAAAGGGTAATTTTGTTTAGTTCAATTAGAAGTGCACATTTAATTTCAGTTGCTTTCCTTAATGATATATTATAGCATTTTTATTCCCTTATGAACAATATGTATACTTGTAAAGCATGTATCACAAAATCTTCTGCAAACAAAGTTTTGGGTGTAGAGTGTTTGTTGTTTAACGTCCCTCTTGAGAATTTTTCACTCATATGGAGACGCCACCACTTGTCAGTGGAGAGCTGCAAATTTTTGTCCTATACTCAGCACTTACGGCCATTGAGCATTGAGGGATCTTTATCGAGCCAGCACCTACTGTGACATGGGACCTCGGTTAATACCTCTGTCTCATCTGAAGAACGGGTCTCCACGTCCCACAGTGGGATTCAAACTCGCGATGTAAGGATCAGCTTCTTTCTCCGCAACTCTAGAGTAGACGCTCTAACCACTGCATCTGCTCTACTTTGGCAACTTTGGGAGTATATAAGCATAGGAATCATCATGTCCATCTGTCTGTTCATGTGTTTGGCCACTTTTATGATTAGTTTTTTTGTTCCAATTCTGGCTGAGATAAATTGATTTAAGTCATCTAAATACAAACAAATTAAGGGAAATTACAATGGTATTGGAATGAACTTTTTGGAATACTGTCTAATTGTTCCATTGTAGTTGATTTCTTTAATGTTGAAGTAATGCATCTGGTCTTCCTAATGCATGGTATACACTGTATGCATGTGTAATGTTAAAGTTGGCTGAATGTAAAACAGTTCTTGCGTTATGACAAAGGTAAATAGATTTAGTTCATGTAACTAAACATGTAAATTATTAGGGTATTAAAATCTCAAGTTTTGAATACTGATTTACATGTGGAGAGTAGTTGGTCTCCTTAATGCAGTAATAATACACTTGGTCCCCCTTATGCATACTGTATATTATATAAATTTAATGACTGACATGTACGAGGGTTGATCCAAAAGTTCATGGAATTTCTTCATATTTTATTTATTAGTGAAAGTGGTTGAATACTGATTTACATGTGGATAGTAGTTGGTCTCCTTAATGCAGTAATAATACATTTGGTCTCCCTTATGCATACTGTATATTATATAAATTTAATGACTGACATGTACGAGGGTTGATCCAAAAGTTCGTGGAATTTCTTCTAGTGTTGTACCGATAATCAGAAAACATCGATTGTTGACAAAAAAAAATGCTACTGATTCCGATGATCGATTATAGTTTTTCATAATCGATCATCGGAAACATACTTCTAATACAATACATTCCGGAATTATCCATTTCTGGTTTAAAATTTATTTCTTCTTAATGAAAGAAAATGGCATCTGCATCTGATACTAGCCAACTAGCACGAAGCAGAGGTGATTAAGAACCGAAGATGCATATATAGGGCCTAAAAAAAATTATTTTTGTTTCCTGTAATAACCCGACCGACCCATTCAATTTACCCCTGGGTGAATTTTTTTTCTGCCAAATCTGTGTTTGCTCTTTGGTTTGATCAATCAGCTGATTCTTTTTATTCAAAAAATATTAATTGTATCTTTTATTTGAGATATAAAATATGCAACTTAGTCAACATTTACCTTAAATATAGAGTGATCAATTCCCCCCACAACTTTTTGAAGTTCGTTTTCTGCCGCTAGGCAGCCATGTTGGGTGTCCACTGTAAATATTTTTAGGTCTAGAAAGTGTAAAAGAAGCAAAACAACAAAGAAAATAATATATTATGTATTTTATATATTCATGTTAAAGAAATAAATGAAATTATTGTAATAGTCTGCTTTTTGTATACAAAACTATGAAGAAATCCGATTATAATCGGTGAAATCGCATCAGAAGCAGTAACCAATTCCAACCGATGATCGATTATGAAAATTAACCAATGTCTCATCACTAATTTCTTCATATTTTTTTTTATTTATTAGTGAAAGCGGTTGAATACTAGCTGATTTACATGTTGAGAGTAGTTGGTCACCTTAATGCAGTAATAATACATTTGGTCTCCCTTATGCGTACTGTATATTATATAAATTTAATGACTGACATGTACGAGGGTTGATCCAAATGCTTATGGAATTTCTTCATATTTTATTTTTTTATTAGTGAAAGTGGTTGAATACTGATTTACATATGGATAGTGGATGGTCTCCTCAATGCAGTAATAATACATTTGATCTCCCTTATGCATACTGTATATTATATAAATTTAATGACTGACATGTACGAGGATTGATCCGAAAGTTCATGGAATTTCTTCTTATTTTATTTATTTATTAGTGAAAGTGGTTGAAAATTACAAATAAAAATATAGACACTTGTTGAATTTTTTTAATAAAAAAATATTTTAAATATTAATGATAGTAACTCTATGGCAGTTGCCATAGCAAAGGATGTTTTAAAATGCAGGGGAGACATTTACTCGTTCATTATCATTTTAATTCTTAATACGTGATATAAGAAAAAACCTGCGCTAAGTGGCAAATAAAATGAGAATTTTGTCATTATTACGATTGCTTGACCACTAATATACCTGTCTGTGAGAGTTTTACTGATTTAACTTGATATTTAGATTATTAGTTGATGATTTCTTGTTCATCTTTTAATTGTTAGAGAACGTCACATTTCAGTCAAGTTATAAGTTTTGTTAAAATCTTAGGAACACTCTGACTTAAAGGGGTATACTACTGATACAGGCTGGAGAAAAATGCATTTAGCAACTGATTTTCCAGTGGCGTGAGAAATTTAAGAACAATAGAACTTCCATGGAGGTTGATTAAAGGTGTGGCTGCTTTTGGAGGGTCTGTTTTTCTCGTAGACAAATTAAGCGTTGATGGATGTTGACCACTGATGTACTGTGCTTGACTTTGCTACTGAAATTGGAACATCATATGGAAAGATGGGGAGTATTTTTGAAATATGAGTGTAATATAAAGATAAGTCGATTGGTGGATACCCAGGCTTTTCTTGAGAGAAAAAAAAGAGAAAAAGGCAGAATATTCTGTAGAATTACTTAGTTGAATTGAACATGAGGGTGAGATGCTCCTATAACATGACATGACATACTTACAGACCCTGAAACATGCTACTACCCCCAAAAAGCGTGTGACTTTCGTGCACTTTTCGTTTCGTGCAAACCGTGTAGCGTTTCGTGTAAACCGTGCAGCGTTTCGTGCAAACCGTGTACCGTTTCGTGTAAATCGTGCAGCGTTTCATGTAAGCTCCAAAGCGTTTCGTGCAAACCGTGTAGCGAGCGTGCGAGAAGCGTGTGAGAAACGTGCGACTTTCGTGTAAGAATCGTGTGAGAAACGTGCGACTTTCGTGCAAGAATCGTGTGTGAAACGTGTAGGATTCATTCGGAAGTCTTTTTATTTAACAGATGGCTATTGATGGATCAACATGTCATTCTGTGTTGTTTATAACTAATATTATTCGGATATATCATACCGGTGGTATTTTAAGATTGAAAAAATACGGAAACAACAAAATAAAATTACTCGGTAATGTATTACATATTTGTTTGATTTTCTTTCTTTTTTTTTTATTTCAATAAAGATGGACAGAAAATGTGTTAAAAGTAATTAATTATATACACATAAATTTTAAGGTATTTGATTCAATACATTTTTTAAGGGAGCAATACTGAACATTTTTTAAAAGAAAATTCATTAGAAATCCAGTCTTGTCCTTTTCATTCATTTATTCGAATCTCTTCACCATTCTACAATTATGGGATGTGGGATTACAAGAACATATCGGTGATTAATACAAAATAATAGATAAATATGTCAGGTGTGAAAAATAAAATGCAAAATTTAGTGTGTTGCTATAAATGTGAAGTATTGGAATTCTAGGCCGGGGAGCACAGTTAATTGATTTTCTTTATAAATGAACATAATTTTCTTATATTACGAGATTTTGATGCAAATTATTTTGCAACGATGAGTCATTTATAGTTTATTTTTATGCAAAAAATTGGTTGATTAATAATAGTCATATAAATGAATTATAATTCACACGCATCGACAAATACAGGGTTAAATATTTCCGGGAGGGGGGGGGGGGGGTGATCAAATGAAAATACTGAGTTTTTGTTGTAAACAAGTCTTTTATTGATGATTTTCTTTCTTAAAATAATCTATTGCTTTTTGCGTCGTGCGCCCGATGCACCCCTTAAAAAACATTGGAATCTTCTTTACACTTTCAGTACTTTTCTTACGACTGTGATCAAGGTCATTTACAACAGCGATCACGGCTTCCGCGTGCTGGGACTGAAAACTTGATCTGCAAGTATCTCTTGTCAATCATAGATAAGATGACAACCGACAATAACGATTGATTTTTAATTTGTGAAATCAAACGGTTTTATTTGTATTTAATGGGTATAAATAAATACACGTGGATTTTATTTCTTAAATTTATCCGATTGTCTATAAACAGTGAATTAATTTGCAATTGCATTCGTAAATAAAATAAATCCTGAACAATCATACATGTATGTATATTAGTTGTTTTATTAATCACGCAGTTCTAGAGCATATTTTTTTTTTTAGTTTTTAGGACATTAGACATGTATATATATATATTGAATGTATAAGCCGTGATTATTGATTACATAAATTATTGATTTTTTTTTGTCTAGACGCGGTTTGAAATGAAGGATTTTAAAAGGTGGTGGGTATAATATTGCTTTTATTTGATAAACCAATGTCTCAAAAGAGAACTAAATAATTACAATACTTATCCCCCGGCTTCTCTACCATATAAAATTTAAATGATTAAATAAAGTTTAACTCTGTAATGAAACGATCTATTTACCATTTACCATTTTGAATAAAGTGCATTTAATGAATTAGATATATCGGGTCCCGCTACAGATATGGATATCTTTTTTTTTCTTAGAACGGGCACTTGTTTCTGTAATATTTTTTCCACCGATGGTATACTTACTGAAACAAGTGCCCGTTATATTTAGTCATGTACAGATTTGAAGATACAACAGT